ATTGGCAGCTTAGAAGGTTGGCTTATGCATTGAAAGCTGGGAAACGTAAAACTAGTGTAAGTTTCATTGCTTGCCAAGCTCATTGTTGAGTATACTTTAGCATAGTTGTTAGGTTATTATGCGGGTAAATCGTCTGATTCGAATGCATCATTGTTAAAAGATGGTTTATGTTGTGAGTTTGCAGATAAAAACTCTGGCAGCTGAGCTTTGTCTTGACAGGGCTTATGTTCTTGAATTGCTTCGTGACCCGCCACCGAAGCTTCTAATGCTAAGTGCTACACTACCAGATGAAAAACCACCAGTACCAGCACCTGAAAACTCCTCACCTGATCCAACTCCTGTGGAGTCGCCATCATCGGGTGAAGATGTTGTTGCGGTCGAACCAGAGGAAAAAGTAAAAGATGAAGCAGTCCATGTGATGCAACAGAGATGGTCTGCTCAGAAAAGAGTGAAGAAAGCTCACATTGAAACATTAGAAAAAGTTTACAGAAGATCAAAACGACCCACTGTAAGGAATTTTTCCTTTTTAACATTTGAATTCAATACAATGTTAGTTGAGTGTTCATTATCTCACATAGATTTTATGAATGTTTGATGCTGTTGTGTGTATAGAATGCTGTGGTTAGCAGTATTGTTCAAGTGACCAATCTTCCGAGGAAGCGAGTTTTGAAGTGGTTCGAAGATAAAAGAGCAGAGGACGGCGTTCCAGAGAAGCGATCTCCATATCAAGCTCCGGTTTGATTCAATGTTGCATTGAGATCAACATAGTCATAAAGAAATTTTTTTTGGTTATAACAGGTGTGTTTTATATTAGTAGATTCTGTCGAATGGTGTGGCTGATATGTTAAGCTAAATTTTATAGAATTCTCCGATTTCAGCATTTTTGTTCTTTCCTTGCAGAAAAATTAGGTCCTACTCCTGTCCAAGTTTTCAAGAACTTGCTTTGTTTTAATGTGTAATATCTATCAGTGGACAGTAGAAAACACGTTTTAGGCGTGGACATTTCAGTTTTCAGTTTTGTTTGATTAATGATACTGAAGATGAATTTGGCTGGGTTCGAAAGAAATTAATTCAATTTGCTTCCA